TCCTGTCTTTTACAGGGGATGGTAAGTTGATTTAATTTTAAAGAATTATTTAATTTTACACGATTTATAATATCCAACTTAAATATGTTTAAAGTTTAATATTATGTTTATATTATATTAAAAATGATTAAAGCAGTAGTGTGATTTTTTTTGATTTTAATTTCTGTATTCAATTTTTCGATTTTTTTGTAAAAAAAAAAACTGTTAGTTATAATCTATTATAATTAAATATTAACCTTAAACTACGTATTTATAATGTTTAATTCTATGCATGGCCTGATAGTAGACATACATATAAGTAAAAATATGTTATAACTAAGAACTACAGTGTCCTGCGAGGATTTACCCATTGCGATATCTCACGAAATAATGGAAACATTAAAATACTGGTTTTATAATAAAATTCAGAGGGATAAGAACTACAATTTTTTCATTTATTTTAATGTTTTTGTACAATATGTAAAAATATATTTTTTTATTTAATTATTTCCAAAAATATTAAAGATAGCCATTTTGTAGGGTTTATTTTTCGGAAAATATTGACGTTTCAAAATTTTATTTTCAGTAATWTCCTGATTTTTAATATTTTTTCTAGTTTTGAAGAAATAAAATTTGATTATAGTCTATAACTATTAGGAACAAAGAAGGTATTCGGCCGGCTGTATGGGAATGCGCTAGGCGCGGAGGGTCACATGTTTGATAACATTACGGTGTTAAATAATTCGCAATTTTTATCAAAACTAAAAAAAGTATGAAAAATCAGGAAATTAATGAAAATAAAATTTTGAAGGCTTATATCTTCAGAAAAATAAACTTTACAAAATGGCTATCTTTAATTTTTTTGGAAATAATTAAATAAAAAAATAAATTTTTAACTTTTTTACCAAAAAGTTAAAATCAATTAAAATATGAAATAGTTGTAGTTCTGATCGCTGTGAGTCTTATTAAAAAACCAGAATTTCTATATCAACATTATTTCGGGAGATATTACAATGGGTAAATCCTCATGGGACATCATGTATATTTCAGATAAGATTCTAATGATTTTTCTACTCTAATTATTTTTTTCGAAATTTATATTCTACCGAAAACCTTGAAAAATCATTGCAAACATTTCAAATAAATCACTTGATATTCCACTTTAATCATAACATTGGATGAATATTTCTTAATTATAAAATATATTATACACTTATTAATTATTATCGGATATTCTCTGTCGATTATAGAGAATAGTAAGTTGATTTAATTTTAAATAATTATTTAATTTTAAACGATTTATATTAAAATGCATCTTAAATATATTTAAAGTTTAATCTTATGTTTAAATTATATCCAACATGATTTAAATAAGTAGTGTGATTTTTTTTTATGTCTGCATTCAATTTTTTGGGTTTCTAAAAAAAAAAGCTGTTAGTTATAATCTATTTTAATTAAATATTAACCTTAAAATACGGGTTTATAATGTTTAGTTCTATGCATAGCCTGATATTAGACATATAACTAAAAATATTTTATAACTAAGAACTTTATTTCAATTTAAGTTCAAATGATTTTTCTACCCTAATTATTATATTTTGAGATTTATATTCTACAGAAAACCTTGAAAATTCATTGAAAAAATTTCAAGGAAATCACTTGTCTTGATTTTCCAGTTTAATCATAACATTTGATGAATATGTTATAATTATAAAATATATTATACACTTATTTAATATTATCGGGTATTCTCTGTCAATTATAGGATTCAGTAAGTTAAGTTAATTTTAAATAATTATTTAATTTTACACATTTGTATATGTATATTCATAAGCATCTTAAATATATTTAAAGTTTAATCTTATGTTTATGTTATAAACCAACATGATTTATATATTTAGTGTGGTTTTTTGTCTTTTAATGTCAGCATTCAATTTTCCGAGTTCCTAAAAAAAACTGTTAGTTATAATATATTATAATTAAATATATTATCGGGTATTCTCTGTCTATATTAGAGAGAAGTAAGTTTATTTAATTTTTAACGATTAACAATTTGCATTTTAAATATGTTAAAGTTTAATCTTATGTATATGGCGTAGGCATATAGTCAAATCAAGCATTTTATTAAATGCCTAGGCATATAGTCAAAGAATTTAATGTTTATGCAATTTCACTATCCGCCTAGACATTTAGTTAAATTCCTAGTAATTTAAT